CTGGAATGAGAAGATTTTATTTATTCATTTATTTATTACTATTATTATTATTTATTTATTTATATCATGCAAAGAAGTGAGACGTACATCATGATACGTTGATATTTTATTAGCTGAAAAGCCATAAATATGTGTCAATCATTAATCTACTGTATCTAAATACTGTATATCTTACACATGTATATTACCATACATATACTCTATCTATTTCGCATACATATTCCAATCAACTTCCACGTTCCCCAAAGTATCAACCTGTAGACACACACACATATATACTAAAAAATGAAAATATCCATTACACAACCCCATTCTATGAACCTTTTCGTCATCCTAGCAACACGCACTAGCAAACACCTGGCAACTGCCATCATTTCCTAATTCCAGGTCGTGCAGAAGCGCCCTCGCACATCCCGCAGAATCATCGTCTTCGCCGCCGATTCGCTCAGACAAAACACGATTTGGCGAGAAAGTTCGACGGCGGATAATAATTTCGCTCGTGTTTTGCCGCTTCGTCCGAGTCTAAAGATGCTGAGTGAAAGTCGGGGCGTTTAATCTCGGCGAGAGAGACGCGTCACTCGAGAGACGCGAGTGACGAGGAATCCTAATTGCTTTATCTACCTGTCACGCTGTAAATAATGGCACCGAAGATGATGGCTGTTTGAGATGGACGGGAGGCCGGCGGCGGGAGACTGATGGGGCGATTGATGGAAAAGAAGAGGAGAAAGAGAAGCAGAATGTCTGAAGGATGGAAGGCAAGAAGAGAGAGAGAGAGGGAGAGGGAGAGGGAGAGGGAGAGGGAGAGGGAAAGGAAGAGGGAGAGGGAGAGAGGGAAAGAGAGAGAGAGAGGATAATGAAGAGGACAGAAGGGGTGGATACACAGAGCGAAATGAATGAGAAATTAATTGATGAATGGAGAGTAATAACATAAAAGGAGAGAGAGAAGAGAGAAAGAGAGAAATAAAATGAAAGACAGAAAGACAAGAAAAAAAAAATCACACAGAGTCGACACCCACTAGTAAGTTGAAAATCATGCTAATCAAGAGAAGGTACACGGACATGCCCCCACCCCTCACACCCATCCCCCACCTACTTCACCCCCTCAGCCCCCTTCCCCCTCCCCCTCCCCTTCCCCCCTTCTACCTTTCCCCTCCACCGCCCCTTCTGCGTTCTGCGGCGAGAGAGAGGCCGACTCCCAGGGCCAAGGGAGCGCCCAAAAAGGAGCCTCGCCTCTTAATGCCGACGAATTCATTCATTGGCAACGGTCGTGACGGGAATGGGGCAGGTCGGACGTTGAGGCGCACTTGTACGTATAGTCAGACATATGCCATACATATGTATACGTCCGCACCCATGGCCACACACACACTATAAAAATCACATAGGCCTATATATATATATATATATATATATATATATATATATATATATATATATATATATATATATATATATATATATATACATATACATATACATATACATATACATATACATATACATATACACATACACATACACATACATATACATATACATACATATACATATACATATACATATACATACACATACACACACACACTCCTAGCCGACCCAGCGCCACGCACTCCCCGGCGCCGTTACTTCTCCGGCACATAACTGGCTTCACGGCTTCAGCGTCTCCGGGTAACCCTTCGCTGTCACGGGCGCTAAATCTGGCGCCTGTCATTTCTAGCCTTTCCTCTGCTTATCGCCTTTCCCGGTTGTCCCCCTTTCGCTTCTCGTTCTTTTCTCTGCACTCTTCTTTTTCTTTTTTATCTCGTTTTCTTTTCTTTTTCTTTTTCTCTCCCCTACTGTTTCTCGCTCTCTTTCCTTTTTTTCTCTCTCCTCCATTTCCGTCTCTTTACGTCATTTTCGTGTCCCCTTCTCTTTCTCTCTTTCCTTTTTCTTTTTCTCTCTCCTCCTTTTCCGTCTCTTTGTGTCATTTTCGTGTCCTCTTTTTGTCACTTTCTCTCGTTTCGTATTTTTATGTCTCGGAAATGTTTTTATGGTATCTTTTTCTCCCAGTTTTACCCTGATTATTCTTTTCTCTCTCTTCCTGTATTTCCTTTTTCGATTTTCCGATTTTCTTTTCTTTTTTATATTTTTTCAATATTTTTTCTTCTTTATAAATATACCGGAGAGGAAGAGAGAGCGAGAGAGAGAGAGAGATGGAGGGGGAGAGGGAGAGACAGGGAGGGAGGGTGAGAGAGAGAGAGAGAGAGAGAGAGAGAGAGAGAGAGAGAGAGAGAGAGAGAGAGAGAGAGAGAGAGAGAGAGAGAGAGAGAGAGGGTGGGGAGAGAAAGAGAGAGAGAGAGGGTGGAGAGAGAGAGAGAGAGAGAGAGAGAGAGAGAGAGAGAGAGAGAGAGAGAGAGAGAGAGAGAGAGAGAGAGAGAGAGAGGGAGGTAGGGAAAGAAAGAGGGGGAGGGGGAGAAGGAGAAGGAGAGAGAGAGGGGAGGGAGAGAGAGAGAAGGAGGGAGGGAGAGACATTGAAATAGTAAATAATAAGAAAGCAACCAACGAAAGGAGCAAACAATGAGACAAACAAACAGAACATTAAACCCTCCCCTTCAAAAAAGGAAAAAGATATATAATTCTTAATTCGTACAAACAAAAACGAAACATCTTCACTGATCCGATGACGAAGCAATAACCACGCAGTGTCAGAGCAGTCATTAGCAGCCATAGTAGTTGTAGCAGCAGCAGCAGTCGCTGTCGTAGCAGTAGCGAATCTGTGTTATCACGTTACGCACTATTTTCCTTGCGTTCGTTATGTAGCGGATGTTGCGTTCATTAACAGGCTCCCTCCCTCCCTCACGCGAACCAGCGGGCCTTGCGCCATCGGGAAGCTGCGCCAGGGAGGAGTCTCTGGTTTGAAGGGGGGGGGGCGAGGGAGGGGCAGGGATAAGGAAGGAACGAGGGAGGAAGGGACAGGGATAAGGAGAGAACGGAGAGAGAGGGAGGGACAGGGATAAGGAGGGAACGAGGGTGGGAGGGAGGGACAGGAAGGAAGAATGGAGGGAGGGGGTAGGGAATGAGGGAGGGAGGAATAGGAAAAGATGGAGGGGTACGGAGGGAGTAACCTGACTAAGGGGAGAGAGAGAGAGAGAGAGAGAGAGAGAGAGAGAGAGAGAGAGTAGGGAAGAGAGAGAGAGAGAGTAGGGAAGAGAGAGAGAGAGAGAGAGAGAGAGAGAGAGAGAGAGAGAGAGAGAGAGAGAGAGAGAGAGAGAGAGAGAGAGACAGAGTAGGGAGGAGAGAGAGAGAGAGAGAGAGAGAGAGAGAGAGAGAGAGAGAGAGAGAGAGAGAGAGAGAGAGAGAGAGAGAGAGACAGAGTAGGGAGGAGAGAGAGAGAGAGAGAGAGAGAGAGAGAGAGAGAGAGAGAGAGAGGAGAGAGAGAGAGAGAGAGAGAGAGAGAGAGAGAGAGAGAGGGAGAGAGAGAGAGGGAATGAGGGAGGAAGGGAGGGAGGGAGGGAGAGAGAGAAGGAGGGTGGGAGGGAGAGAGAGACAGAGAGAGGGAGGGAGGGGGAGAGAGAGGGAGAGAGGGAGAGGGAGGAGGAGATGGAGAGGGAGAGAGAGAGAGAGGGAGAGAGAGGGAGGGAGAGGGAGAGAGAGAGAGAGAGGGAGAGAGAGAGAGAGAGAGAGAGAGAGAGAGAGAGAGAGAGAGAGAGAGAGAGAGAGAGAGAGAGAGAGAGAGAGAGAGAGAGAACGGGGTTAAGAGAAAGAAGAAAAGAAAAAACTCACTTCACTCCATTACCTTCTCACCCCCCCCCATTCACTTCAAGAAAGAAAAAAGATGTAAAACTAAAGATTTCCCGCCATGACATTAAGGGAAGGACTGTCACTCAAACCTCGTTCACGCCTCGTCTCGCGCGGACAGCGGAGAGAACGGGATTGAGGGAGAAGGAAGGAGATGGAAGGAGGGATGGGTGGAGAGGAGAGGGAGAGAGAAAGAGAGAGATTGAGATGGAGATAGATAGATAAATTGAGAAAGGGACACATGGAGAAATTGAGAGAGAGAGAGAGAGAGAAAGAGAGAGAGAGAGAGAGAGAGAGAGAGAGAGAGAGAGAGAGAGAGAGAGAGAGAGAGAGAGAGAGAGAAATTGAGATACATTCTAGAGATAGATAGACAGAGATAGAGATATTTAGATAGATACACATAGATATATAGATAGATAGACAGACATAGAGATAGATGGAGAGAAATGGTTTAACCAAAACGGAAAGTTAAGAAAGAAAAAGAATAAAAAAGGAAAAGGAAATAACAAGGAAGAAAAAAAGTTAAAGCACTTAGATAACCATGGGATTCTCCAAGCCAAGATTACTCGTGGGTCCGGGAGGCGAACGCCAGATAAACGGGCTCTCTCTCTCTCTCTCTCTCTCTCTCTCTCTGTCTCTCTCTCTCTGTCTCTCTGTCTCTCTCCCTCTCTCTCTCTCTCTCTCTCTCTCTCTCTCTCTCTCTCTCTCTCTCTCTCTCTCTGTCTCTCTGTCTCTCTCCCTCTCTCTCTCTCTCTCTCTCTCTCTCTCTCTCTCTCTCTCTTTCTCTCTCTCTCTCTCTCCTCTCTGTCTCTCTCTCTCTCTCTCTCTCTCTCTCTCTCTCTCTCTCTCTCTCTCTCTCTCTCTCTCTCTCTCTCTCTCTCCCTCTCTCCTTCTGTCTCTGTCTCTGTCTCTCTGTCTCTCTCTCTCTCTCTCTCTCTCTCCCTCTCTCCCTCTTTCTCTCTCTCTCTCTCTCTCTCTCTTCTCCTCTCTCTCACACACACACACACATTTTCTCTCTCTCTCTCACATGTTCTCTCTCTCTCTCTGTCTCTGTCTGTCTGTCTGTCTGTCTGTCTGTCTGTCTCTCTCTCTCTCTCTTTCTTTCTCTCTCTCTCTCTCTCTCTCTCACACACACACAACACACACACACACACATTCTCTCTCTCTCTCTCTCTCTCTCTCTCTCTCTCTTTCTCTCTCTCTCTCTCTCTCTCTCTCTCTCT